CAGTGAGAGCTGCTGTGAGAGTGCAAAACATCTGGTGACCAGGTAAACTTCCAACATCTGCCTCCCATGGGAAGAATTCCCAGGGGGCAGGTGCTCGTGCCGTGGTCAGCACCCCTGCATCCCGGCTCGGGTGCCTGGCTGCCGTGGGCATCTGGGGAGTGGGCCAGTGGGTGCAAGACGTCTGTCTGTCTCTGTGTGTCTCTCTGCGTTCAGATAGGAGGCGGGGGAGTGTTTCTGCTCTGGGCTGAAGCGGGGGCTCACTGCAGACGGGGCTGCCTGCTCCCGCAGAGCGTGTGTCACGTGGTCGGCACTCAGGCAGCCAGGGAAGAGGATGGGAAGTTCTATTTGCCGCAGGGGCTGCTTCCGAAGGCCCAGAAATCAACCCGTGATCATTTTCCCCAATCAGCCCACACGTGGGAGGTGAGACCCACCCCCCCGCCAGCAGACAGCCTGGCAGGGAGGGGGGACCGGGGAGGGGAGCGGTGCCAGCCCTGTGGCCGCGAAGGGAGCGAAGGGGAAGCTTCACTTGCTGATAACCATCGCTGTGAACTGCTCACCCTCCTGCAAGCCCCGGCCTGTTTACTGGAAGACTCGACCCGATTTCTACATCCTGAGTGCTGAGAGATTTCATCACCGGCTCAGGCAAGACAGAGAGGCCAGGCAGCAAGGCTCGGTGGCAAGTGGCATCAGGCGGGGTGCGGGGGGCAGCCGTGGCTGTGGCCATGGCGCTCAGGCTGGGGGTGCTGCTCACTCCTGTGTCAGCCCTTTCATAGCGCATACTGATCTCGGTATACTGATCAAGGCTGGTATGCAGGGGCTCCAGACTCAAGGCAAAAAGGACAAAAATGAGAGCAATGGTGATCGGAACATACGGTGAAAGCCACTGTTTTCTAAGCCATCATTTTGAAAAGTGGTGCGCGGTGTGGCTAGCAGCGTGGCTTGGAGCCGGACTGAGTTTCTGATCCACTCACCTGTTTGAGTCTCTACTTCCCCTTCTCTGAAATGGGTCTGCAGTGTTTGAGTGAGTTCACACCTTTGGAAGGGAGGCTGCTGGTCCTCTGCTGGCGTCCGCCACGTGGAGCCAGTGCTGAGCACCTTCCCTGAGTTTTTTTTTTTTTTTTTCTTTTTGACAGGCTGAGTGGACAGTGAGAGAGAGAGACAGAGAGAAAGGTCTTCCTTTTGCCGTTGGTTCACCCTCAAATGGCCACTGCGGCCAGCGCACTGCAGCCTGCACACTGCGCTGATCCGATGGCAGGAGCCAGGTGCTTCTCCTGGTCTCCCATGGGGTGCAGGGCCCAAGCACTTGGGCCATCCTCCACTGCACTCCCTGGCCACAGCAGAGAGCTGGCCTGGAAGAGGGGCAACCGGGACAGAATCCGGCGCCCCGACTAGAACCCGGTATGCCAGCGCTGCAAGGCAGAGGATTAGCCTAGTGAGCCGCGGCGCCAGCCCCCTGAGTCTCAGTGGGAGGAGAAGGTGAGGCCACGTGTAAGGAGACTTGCATGAGCTGCTCAATTCCTTCCACGTCTGACCCAGCTCCAAGACAGCAGACGAGGAACCCAGAGAGGCCATCGAAGGGCTGTGTCCCCAGCCCACCATGCACAAGCTCTGGGGGTGGAACTTGAACCCGGGTTGGCTGACACTGATGCTGTGGAGGAAGGGAGAGGGCCCAGAGGCCCCCTGGTGCAGGCTGGTGGGCAGCGTCCCCGATCTGCTGGCCAGCTCCTGGCTTCAGGGCTGACTGTCATGTCCCCAGGGTTCATTCTTGCTCCATGGGACCCACAGGCACAGACAGGCTGCTGAGCTGAGGCAGGTAGGAGTGGCCCTGCCTGTCCTGTGCCGTACTGGGAACAGAGGGGCTGCGGCCTGCGGAGACACCAAGGAGCCACCCTGCCCAAGCCCAGCCCCATTCAAGGCTGAGCCTGGCTGGCGACAGAGGCCTGGACCAGCCATTCCAGTGCAGCCGCTGCTGATGCCAGTCTGACCCCAGGCTCGTGGCCCTGCCTGCCCCAGTTACGGCCTTGCCTCTTCCCACCCCCTGCAAACCAAGCCCTCCTCCACCCAGGGCTGTTGCTCTCGCTGCGGCCCCGGGTTTCCTCGCTCCCAGCAGACCTTGGGGCAGGGTCACCTCCTTCCCTCACCTGCTCCCTGAAGGCCACAAACACTTAGTCACCCAGCCCTGGGCCTGCCTCCTCGCATAGGTACCTGTGCACATGCACCAAGAGGCCACCACATAGGCTCTGACTGTCCCATCTGCAGAGTGGCCACTGCATGGCAGGGCCTCATGGGTGGTTGTAGAACCCAGGGACAGAGGAGCAGCTGCATGGCCCTGGGGAAACAGAGATCGGGGTTGAGCCCCCGTGTCCCCATTCCTCGCGAGCCAGCCTGACCTGACAGGCTCCCGTGGTAGCCAGCACCTGCCTCACCTGTGTGGACAGTCCACGTTATACTGCATCCTGTGGCTACGGTTCCTTTAAAGTCTATTTATTTATTTATTTGAAGGCAGAGTTGTGGGTGGGGAGCGGAGGGAGCTCCCATCTGCTGGCTCAGACCCCAGTGGCCTGCAACAAGTGGGGCCAGGCCAGGCCAGGCTGGGGACTGGGAACTCCACCCTGGTCTCCCATTTGGTCGGCGGGAACCTGAGTACTTGGGCCAGTATCTGCTGCCTTCCCAGATGCACCAGGATGAAGTTGGATGGGAAGTGGGAAGCGGAGTCGGGACACAATCCCTGGCACCCCAGTGTGGGTTGCAGGCATCCGCGAGGTGGCTGAACCCACGGTGCCACAACTCCCATCCCAGGAGGTGTGCACGGCAACGAAGCTGCAATTCACTGCGGGCTTGCTGCGTGCCAGGCACTGGATCCGCAAAGCCGCACATCTCCAAACCACTCGAGCAATGACAGCTGCTCCTCACATGACAGCTGCTGGGGCCTATGGCTGAGTGGGCGCCGGAGGAAGGGAAAGCAGCGGTGGTGGGGTGAGGGGGGTGGGGGGAGCTCCAGGAAAGGAAGTGCAGCCCCTCAGAGGGCTTCCTTCTTTCTGGACTCTCTGCTGTCTCCAACCCAGCCCAGCCCAACCCCACACCCACCCTGCACGGGCGGTTGACATGGCTTCCTGCTGTCTGCACAGCTGCTGGGCCCCCAGGGACTTCCCAGCTCATGCAGGCACCTCTGGTGGAAGCCAGGTCATCATTACCCAGTGTGCTGCGGGCTCAGACCAGGAAGCCCCCAGCAGGCTCCCCCAGGGGGCAGGCGGCTAGTATCTGCCAGGGCCACCCTGGCTCGTAGCCAACAGCCTCCAGCCTGCCCAGGCCCGGAACCAGACAGTCCCAGCTGTCTGAACAGCCCACAGCAGCCTGGCACCACAGGGTGTCCCGGCAAGAGACCCACCCTTCTGGGGAAGTCCTATTCTTGCTCTCTCTCTGCCCTACAGACAGTGATCGATGCTGCCCCGTGTCCTGCTGTGACCTCATGGCCGCACAGGTGACATGGCAGGCAGACACGGTCCCTACGTAGCCTGTGCTCCTCCTTAGTCCTTCTCACCTGATTTCTATCCCTTGTATCCCATCGACTTCTTGCGAACCTGCTCAGAGCCTGGTATCTGGCCTGGGTTCAAAGGTCGCAGTGCCTGACAACAACCAGCAGGACTGTGCTAAGGGGCAGTCACCAGGAATTCACAAGAACACGAACAGGAAGACAGAAAGTTGCAGCAAACAATGAGTGATACACTGGTCACGCACGAGGAGCAATGCTCGGTGCACACGGAACTCAGGGGCTCGGGCAGGAGAAGGCAGACGGGCCAGCAGACGTTGCCACACCCTCTGCAGTCCCCAGCGTCCACAGCCACTGTGTATAGTCGTGTGGGCTGTCGATGGGGGCTGAAATTCAGACTAAGGTCCAGCTCCGAAGCAGGGGCCTGCAGGGCTGTCTTCCCAGAAGTGCACCTGCTACTCCTCAGAGGTGTTCTCCGCATCGCCCTGCCCTGACCCCCTCGGCCCCAGCAACCTTTTGGTAGAAGAGGATAGTCCTGCCCTCATCCCACCCAACATACACACACATGCACACACATATACACACATGTACACACATGCACACACACACACCCTGCAAGTGTTCCATCATCCTTGGCGTGCTTCAGGTTCCTTCCTAATCTGGTGGCACCTCTGCCACCACCTCCACCACACCCATGCCTCACCCTCCTCTCTCCATGTCTACACTGCACAGCCTCACCTCTCCCCCTGTCTGCAGCCTCAGCTCCCTGGGAGAATCAGGTCCACATGGTCTCCACACACGCTGCTTCTGTTCCCCACAATAGCCCTTCCCATGTTGGGTCAGCCAAGGCCTCACACTCCTCCAAGAAGCCTCTGGGCAGCCTCTGTGCCCTCCCCACCTGGTTACAGCTCCCTCTCTCCCCTCTACCCCCCAGTGCCTGCTCTGCTCTGAAAGGCTTCTCGGGCAATGCCGACCTGATTCCCAACATCATTGTTGCTGTTTGCTGCCTCCCCCAGGACACCAGGGGCTGGAGCACGTGTACCGTGCAGGGGAAGCACCTCAGTTTGAAAGCCCAAAATCCCAGAGGGCTGACAGGACACCCACGTGGAAAATTTCACACGTGCCCTCCCGTGACAGATAGCAGTCAGAACACAGGTGCACTCCAAGTGCTGATTGAAGTTATCTTCAGGGTGGGCGTTTGGCACGGTGGATAAGTGGCTCTGTGGCATGCCCCCTATCAGAGAGTCGTCTTCAAGCCTCTGATCCAGCTTCCTGCTACGGTGTGCCCTGGGAGGCAGCAGGTGATGGCTCTAGTATGTGGGTCTGTGCCATCCACACTGCAGACCAGCAGTGAGTTCTCTATCTCCTGGTTTCGACCTGGCCTCGTCCTGGCCATTGCTGGCATTCAGGGAGTGAACCAGCAAATGAAAGGTGTCTCTTTCTGCTTTTCAAATAAGTAGAAGTAAATTAAGATTTTTTAAAAAAGATTTACTTATTTATTTTGAAAGAGAGAGAGATCTTCCATCCACCAGGAGCTTCATCCGGGTCTCCCACGTGGGTACAGGGTCCTAAGCACTTGGGCATCTTCCACTGCTTTCCCAGGCCACAGCAGAGAGCTGGGTCAGAAGAGGAGCAGCTGGGATGTGAACCAGTGCCCACATGGGATGCCAGTGTTGCAGGGGGTGGCTTTACTCTCTACACCACAGCGCCGGCTCTGAAATTTAAAAAATTTTAAAGTTGCCTTCAGACTATGTGCATCAGGTGTGTTCAGAACAGATCAACTTCATGTTTGCACTTGAATTCCAACCCCAGGATATCTCAGGATATAAATGTAAACATCTCAAAATAAAAAAAAATTCTAAACATTCTGGTCCAAGTATTTTGGATAAAAAATACTCAGCCTGTCATATCTATCAATCCATCTATCTGTGTGTCTACTGTATGCTATCCATTGTCAATCCAGTGCATACAGTTGGTGCTCAGCACACAGTAACTGAGTAAACGAGTGACTGTGGCTGGCACAGTGGGGAGCAAGAGCTGCTGACAGGCAGGCGGCCTCCCGCTCCCGGAGTCAGAGCAGAGGGAGCCTGGGAGCTGGGGGCAGAGCCTCCCCGCCCACCACGGGCGCGCAGTCTCCTCTTGCCCTGTGTGCTGGATGTTCCCGTGCTGGGAACAAATCTAAGAGGTCCCAGGTCTGCCGTCCGGTGACACTGACCCCCGTGTGGCTCCAAAACCCATCAGCAACCGTCAACGTGCCGTCTGCTTTCTTGGATGCAGGGGGAAGAGGAGAGGGCATGTGTATGGCACAGGTGGCACCAGACAGGAGGCTGCTGCGAGCTGGGGCAGCACCCCTGCCCAGGGCCTTTCCAGTGCCAGCTCATCTATCTTGAATCACTAATCACATTCAAATTGGCAGGTCTCTGAAGCGCTCCTGTGGGCATCTGCAAACTCGCCCCCGAAGCAGACTGTCTGAGAAGCACTTGCACCTCATACCCACACTGGGGCACCAGGTGCTGCACAGAGGTCTGCTTTATCTTTGTCCTTCCCTAGCTGGGCTCATTTAAATAAAACTGCAGGCGGCAATGCATCGTGAGACCTGGAAAAGCTTTCGCCGGTTACTCTCATCAAACACAAACCATCCCTGTTGATTGTAGAGAGAAAAACATTTTTAATCGAAAAGGAAATTCCGTGCAATGCAATCACCAGAGCTGATGTGCACGGAACGTCTCTAAGGGCAGCCACCCTGCGGGGCGTGTCCCCTGCAGACACCTCTCTGGGCGTTAAATGGGTCCAAGGCCTCGCGGTGGTGGGCGCAGCGTGAGGAGGAAGGAGCTCTAAGCCCGGCCACAGCATGTGCTCGGGACCCCTGGGAGCTGTCCCTGCCGCTGGGACGGCCGGGCCCAGGTCCTGGGTGCCGGGCATCAGACTCTGCAGAAGGCACAGCTGGTGCACCACAGAGCCGGCGCAGAGCAGCTCAGGAAGGGAGGCGGCCTGTGTGGGAGGGAGCACTTCTGCTTGCCTCGGGGTCTGCCCTCTCAGGCCCCAGGGTCATCTCAACCTGCTCCACCGCCCGGTCCACAGCATCCGAGCCAGGCTGCCTTCCCCGGGGCCCTGAAGTTCCGAGCCTTTGGCTAGGGAGGGAAGTGGAGGGACTGAAGTTGAGAACGGGGCCTGAACCCCTCCACTTCACAGATGGAAAAACCAAGGCCTGGCCTCAAAGGCACTAGGGCCTCAGCTTGCCCCTTTGCAGCCTTGTGTGGCTTCTAGCCTGGGGAATGCCAGCCATCTTCAGAGGCGGGGGCGCCCCAGAGGGGCCTCGCCCATGGTGCTGGCACTGGCAGATGCTGAGTGGGGGAGGCAGGCGTCAGGGGCTGGGTTTTCCCCCAGGACGCTTCGGAAAGCTCAGCTTGCAGAGACCCCTGCTCCGAGACAGGAGGGCTGGCCGGGGCCAACGCTTCCCTGTCTGTTCTGTGAACACCGATAACAGGGCTTCCTTCCACATTCTCACTGCCGCCGCACCCGCCCCCCCCCCCAGCTGCTGGGCACCGGCCCCTCTGGCCACACACCCCCTCCACCCTCCACCCGGGCCGTGACCTTGCCCTGGAAGGTCAGCACCGGGATCGGGCCCACGCCTCCTCACCTCAGCTAGTTCCTTCTCTTCTTTCCTGGGCTGCTGGGTTCGCGTTTCACTTCTGCTCGGGCAGGGGTGGAGCGACACCATCACGTCGTTTCTGGCAGCTGTGGTGGGCCTGGCGGTGAGGTGGGGGAGGAGTCCTAGTTCTGGTTCTGCTGTCAGGCGGGCTCCTGCACCTGGCCAGCCCAGCTTCCTCCTCTGCACCCTGGCGAGGTCACAGCCACTCCCAGGGTGGGGAGGCTGACCCCCGTGAGAATGGCCCAGCATCTTCCAGGTGCAGGGGCCGCGTGGGACGCCCCCCCTCGAGGAGACCTCAGGCAGGAGAACAAGCCCGGAGGGGTCAAGTGGCTCCCCCAAGGGCACTGGGGGTGAGGGTGGAGGCAGGATTAGAACCCAGGCTCATTCCCTCACATCTTTCCAGCCAGGAGCCTGGGCACGCCTGCGGGACCCCCAGCTGCAGTGCTGCGAACAGACCCAGGGACGGGAAGAGGGTATGGCAAAGGGCATGAAGAAATGGAACTAGACGTGTGCATCTGAGGCAGGCGCTTGGCCTAGTGGTTAAGACGGCTGCATCCCAGATCTGAGTCCCGGGCAGCAGGGATACCGGGGGGGGGGGGGGGGGCATCAAGTGATTAGGTCCCTGCAGTGCACCTGGGAGACCTGGACTAAGTCCTCACATCCCAGCTCCCAGGCGCGCCTAGCCCAGCCTCCAGCCACAGCAGGCGTCCGGGGAGTGCATGAGACAGGAGCTGTCTGTCATTCTCTGCCTCTCAACAAAAAATTAAAAAAAAATTAACCTGGGGAGACCTGGATGGAGTTCCTGGTCAAATTTCTTTTGGTGCAAACATTTTTGAACCCCATGCAGCTTCTCCATAACATGCATTTTCCTTGTATTATGAAGAGAATTGTTGGCACCAAAATAAACCTATACTTCAGATTCCTTTTTTCTGCGAACCTTTTGAGCTTCCTGGGATCTCCCCTGTGCCCCCCCGACCCGTGGTTGAGTGGCACCTGCGGACCGCAGGCCTCTGCCTTGTCGTCTCACAGCAGGCTGGTGCTCCGTCTGTGTCCCTGCAGGCACTGTGCCTTGGCGGCTTAGAGAGAGGTCAGGGCCTGGGCAGCATCGCAGAGAGGAGGGACCTGTGAGCTTGCGGGGTGGGGGTGGGGGCGCCCCTGTGCAGCAGCCTGCCTGGTGAGCTAGAGGCGCTGTGGGGAGCCTGCGACAGGCTTCTGTATTCCCAGAGCTTACAACCGGAGCAGGGTGGTGGTGGTGGACTGTGTGGCCACCGCAGACGTGCTGGGCTGACCTCATCCACAGGGCTGTTGTGGAAATCACAAACAGCTCCTGCCAGCTGCCCAGGCAGGGCCAGGACAGGGCCCTAGAGCGATCGGCCCCAGCCTCCCGTGGCCTGCTGTCTTGCCTCCTTGTGATAACAGCAGCAGCTGCCAGGCCCGTGGGCAAGGAGCGGCCTCTGGGGCTGGCAGGGCTGGGTGGGGCCGTGACTCACAGCCACTAGCCAGCTTTTGTCTGAGCCCAGTGCTGGGGAGGTGAGGAGGAGGAGGGTGGGGCGGCGGGGACTAGAGCCTGGGCTTCCATGTCTCTGGGGCTCTCCCCGGCGGCCCCACAGCTTCACCCCTCCAGCCCCCAGAGCCCCTGGCCAGTACCCTCCATTCCTGAGCACACGTCCCTCTCCATGCCCTTCCTGCCTGTGTGTGAACACGCTGCCCCTTCCCCGTCTGCACGCTACTGTTCCCCCACTGTCTTCCCCTTCAGAACACGCGCCCAGGGTGCTCTCTTTGCAGACACAAACTCAGAAGAGCCCCATCTCAGCAGACGGTGGTCTGCTGGGCAGGATTCCAGGGCCTGCTAGACGCTGCCCAGAGCAGGGTCCCCAGCTCGGAGTGTGAAAAGAGCTTGGGACGTGCACAGCTCGAAGCCTCGGGGTCCGGGCTTGTGGAGAGCTTTGCCAACACCTCCTCCAGGACCTCGGGGTTGAGTGGTGGGTGCTGAGCTGGAGGCAGCAGGAGGGAGAGCAAGGAGTCAGAGGATTCACTCCAAGCCACGGAGAGCCGTGGAGCACGAGGCGGCCGAGGCCTGGCCTCCGGACTCGCCTCCCAGCGGGGCTGCAGGACTGGCTGTGTCTCCCTGCCTCGGTTTCCCTGACTTGTCACAGCCTTTTTAAAGGTCCCGCATAGACGTGGATTTTGCACTGAAAAAAACTCTGCTTTTAATTCCGACTTCTAGGAACCATTTGCAGGCCGCCTGCAAGTTCTGCACAAGCGTGGGCGGCCGTGGTGACCCAGTGTGCAACCCGGAGGTGACTGAGACCTCGCCCCGTCCCAGGGTTTACCGCGGGTACTGGTAACCCCCCGCCTCTCAGCAGGGCCCTGATCTCTGAGGAGGGGCTCGTGCCACTGCCACTGGGGACCCCCCGCAGGGGACACCTCCAGCCTGCAGGTGAGGACAGATCAGCAGTTTCTGGCCTTCCAAGAACAACCAGAAATCCAGATTTTTGTGTGAAATCATCCTGCTTTTACGGCAAGCTTTATGTTTTGCATTCTTTAAAAACAGGCCTTATTTTTAGCTGTTTATTTAGTGCACCGCTCAAAGTTCAGCGTCCAATTTAAAATTTCCCAAACTGCCCTCTGGCCCAGCTGAAGCGCACCTGTGCTTTGGGTCAGCAGGTGGTCCGTGTCCAACCTCAGACCAGAGGAAGTGGCGATCGATGGAGAGGAGCCCAGAAAGTAAACAGGCGGTGACTACCCAGGCGATAAGGGCGGGACGGCGGGGACAGGACCTGGCTGAGTCAGGAGCCAGAGGAGGGGCAGCCACACAGCCTGTGGGGGCATCAGGGAAGCCTTCCTGGGAGAAGGTGGCAGCCTAGTCAAGCCCCAGAGTGGAGCACATTCCAGAAATGGCAGCAACGGTGGTGACGGACATTTCTGCTCGTTGCTTTCCCAGGGTGAGCTGTTTCTGTAAACAACATTTAACGTGCACAATAACCCTATACGTGAGGGGTTGTCTTCTTCCAGCACTGGAAACCAAGGCACGGAGAGCTCCAATCACCTACCAAGGGAGCGCAGTTAGCAGGTGCCACCTGTGCACTGACACATGGCTCTGGAAAACTCCATGGAGTCCAGAAGGGCATCGGGAGGCTAGACCACGGAAGAGAACAAGATACGCACGCAGAGCCGGAGACGGCAGAGGGCACAACACCACTGGGGACCCTGCATCCGGCCTCGGAGGGCCTGGCTTTGAGCCCCAGCTCTACCTCCCATCCAGCTCCCTGGCCATGCACACCCTGGAGGCAGCAGGCTGCGGCTCCTTGGTTAACGTGGGGAGACCTGGATGGAGTTCCTGGATCACAGATTCACTCTAGCCCAGCCCCCGCCTTTGAGGGCATTTGGGAATGGAAGATCTCTCTGTCTCTCCCTGTCTTTTAAATAACTACAAATTAATAAGTCTTTCTTTAAAACCTGAAGCTGGCCACCGTGGCTGAGGTGTGGGCTCTGTTTGCCACGCAGGGGGAGGAGCTGGGTCCCAGGCTGTGCCAAATGCGGCAGGAGTGCCATGGGCCACACCCAGGAGCTTGGCTACACCTGGAAGCCTGCGGGCGCGAGGGAAACGTGAAAAGACGGAAGGATCAGTGTAACTCCAACTCCTCTTCACCTTACAGGAGACTGCGCCTTCCCCTGCCCTGCCAGCCCAGCCCAGGGGTCCCCGCCCCAGGGAGTGGCAGGAGGGAAGAGCAAAAGGCCCCAACCGGTGGCTTCCAGACTTGAGACTGAAGATTACAGGGCTCCGGCCCCGACCCTTGCACACCCTGGGAGCACCCAGTTGTTCCTGCGGCCTCACCCTCCCGCCCACTGGCCTCCTGCAAAGGGAGAGGCCTGGGACGTGGCTCTCCCAGAGTAACCCTGGGGCGGCAGAACAGACGGGCTGGAGGCAGCCCTTTGAAGCCCCTCCTGGGACCTGGCCGGTGGCCCTGCCATCCCGCTGCCCACTAGCCACCTGGCAAGCCGGGCAGGCCACAGGGGCCAGGTGCAGAGGCCCCGGAAACCCTCCAGAGGCAGCTGGTCTCTGGTCTCCAGGTCCACGTGGGCCGTGAGTAGAGGGAGTGAGATGCAGGTATGAGCGGCAGGGGCAATGTGTCAGGACCCCTGTGTTGCAGTCGGCTGGGTCCTCCCCTGATTTCGGGCCGCAGGGGTCTCCTTGCATTCCGAGGCCCTGGGCAGGTGGGCCCCAGGCTCCTTTGCAGGGATAAATCGAGGCATTGGCCTGCTCCCATGCTCAGGGGGGACACTCAGCATGGGGAAAGTAACTTCAGAGGCAGTGGAGGGGATTCTCGGTGCGGGCTTCTCACCCCTGGCCGCTTGGCATTTGGGGCGGGATCGTCCCTGGCCGTGCAGGGGGCACACGGCAGGGGCAGGCCTGCCCGCCAGGTGCCAGCAGCAGCCCCACCAGTGATGACAAATGAGCCGGAAATGTCTCCAGACGGCGCCGCACATCCCCTGGGGCCCAAGTGACCCAGCCTGCTTGAGACCACAACTCTAGACCACAGCTGCTCACAAACTATGTAAAAGCAAACCACACGCAGAATTTTACATTTTCTACTAGCCACATTAAAAAAAGTAAAGATGCAGGAAACCATTTTTTAATGTATTTCATTTTGCTCCCACACATTATCGTTTCGACGCATAATTCATATAAAAAGGTATGAAAGACATGCTTCATATTCTTTTAGTCTGACAAAAAATCTTCAAAATCTGGTGAGTCTCTTACAGTTTGGGGCTCCAGCCCACTGGGCGTGGCTCTCCCCAGCACATCAGAGACAGCCGGAAACCAGAGCCAGGGCCAGCACAGCGCCTTGGCCGCACCGGGGCCCCCACGGCCAGCCCCGGCCCTGCCGCGCGCAGGTCTGCAGGTTCAGAGGCTCCGCGGCTTAGCCCGTGCCCGTTCAAGCGTGAGGGTGCCAGGCCAGGAAGCCAGGGTGTGTGGGTGTGGGCAGGTCAGTGAGCAGACTCCCATGAGTCTTCCCACCTGTGTAAGGGGGCTGTTCACACTCCTTCTCCGGGCTGGGATGGGCACTCACCCCCTGCCCCCTTCTTCTCTGGCCACAGCACCCCCTGAGCTCCCCAGGCACCCCACAGTTTGACTTTCTACAGGCTGAGGCCCTGGGCCCGGGATGCCGCCCCATGGGGAGACCCCGAGTCCAGTGACAGCCTGGGGTGAGGACCCCCTCTCAAGCAGAGGATCTGGGTGTGTGCAGAACCCCCTAGCCTGTCTCACACGCGTCCAGCAGCCAGGACAGTGCGCGCGCAGCCGTGTGGACCTCTCGCTCCTAGGCTTAGGTCACTCGAGAAGAATTCTCCTGAGGGAGCTGCAGGGTCAGTGTTTTGTGAGCTCCCTCCCTCGGCAGGGCTGCCCGGCCCCTGCTGCTGCCCAGGGCTGGGAAAGCCAGCTCTGCCTTTGCACCAGCTCCCCTGGTTTCCAGTCCCAACACGTCAAAGGGGAAGGTGTTTGTCGGCAAACCCCAGGCTTAGCCTGGCACTCACTTCCTCTGCCTTTCATCAGGACCTGGGCGGCTCCCCCGGGCGGGCAGGCGGGCGGGCAGGGGTGAGACAGAGGTCAGGCCGGGCTGCAGCCACAGCCTTGAGACAAAGGGTGCCCCTGCGCCCGGACACGGGCAAAACAAACCAATCAGGAAAAGTTCTCGGCAGAGCTCCACAGGGGTTGGGGTGGTGTCCCAGAATCCCACTTGCCCCAGTTTCTGCCTCCCAGTGAGCCCCATGGTGCCGGTCAAGTGGGTGCTGGGACGGGGGTCACGGCTGGAGGTCACCCTGGGGGTAGCAGGTCATCCCCAGCAGGGGGAGGCTTCACCAAAGATCCAGAGTCCAGCAGGGTGACTCAGGGGCACCCCCGCCCAGGGAGAAGGGAGGGGAGGGGTCAAGAGACGAAAGCCAGGACCTGCTGAATCCTCCAGACAGAAGGGGCGGGAGCCGGGGCTGCACTGGGGCGCTTCCCCGCCTGTTGGTGCTTGGCCTCCTCTTCTGCTCCCACCCGCTTCTGTCCATTCTGCAGGCAGCAAGACTGAGGCCCAGAAAGGCCACTGGAGTCAGTGTCCTAGACCTCGGGCAGGTCACTCTGTCTGCTTTCAGCTTCCTCCCCATGAGACGGAGACAGCGCTTGCTCTCGCAGGCTGTGGAGTAGGTGGGACACACATGGAACACGTGGCTGTGCCTACGGCTGGAAACCCTGCTGCTCACGCACCGTCGCCTCTGAGTGGCCCGCCCGAGGCCACACAGCGCACGCATTCCACCGGGGCTGATTCACCCAGGAGTGAGGGATCAGGAAAGTGGTGTGAAAACCCGTCCACCTTCCCTGCGGCAGGCCCGTTCACTGCTGGGAGGGACACCTGCTGTTTG